CCATCATTGTTGTTTGGCAGGCCCAGGCTGGATTCGAACCCGCCACCTTAGGTGTATGTGGCTGGTGCCTTAGCCACTTGAGCCACAGGCGCTGAGCTGAATGGCCTTATCTAATTGGGGGTGTGAAGAGGGAAATCCTGTGATTCCTTCATTGTCTGACTTGATTTCCTTTTTTTTTTCTTTTTCTTTGCTTGTGCCAGTAAGTTGAGATGCTATTGAGTCACCAGAGTCAGAAATTTGAGATACTCTAGAAATAACAGTGCCAATGAGATGAGTTACAAAAAGTAAAGTGTTCACTGCATAATTTAGCTTTGAGTCTATTGAAAACTTACAAAACTGAACAGCTAAGGCTTACCTTCCTTTTCTCTCCTCTCCTCTCTTCTCTCTCTCTTCTTTCTCTCTCTTTTCTTTCTCTTTCTCTCTCTCTTTCTTTTTATGTTTCCTTTTAATAGCTTACTCTCTTCATAGGACATTTGGAGGCTCTGCATTAGGGTTGTACCCAAAACTGGAATTATCATTCCTCCAGGGGAAGAATCCATTTTGAAAATTGGAATTACGGCGGGGTGCAGTGGCTCACGCCTGTAATCCTAGCACTCTGGGAGGCCAAGGCTGGTGGATTGCCTGAGCTCACCAGTTCAAGACCAGCCTGAGCAAAAGTGAGACCCCTATCTCTACTAAAAATAGGAAAACTAAGGCAAGAGGATTGCTTGAGCCCAAGAGTTGGAGGTTGCTGTGAGCTATGACGCTATGGTACTCTAACCAGGGGGACAGCTTGAGACTCTGTCTCTAGGGAAAAAAAAATGAAGGCAACCAAGTTCATCAGAAATTTTCTTTTTACATTTGTATTAAATTTGACACACAGTACTGAAATACAGTACTGGCTTAGCACATTCTGTATGTTACAGAATATGCAGTTACATTTATTTATATATAGCATTTTATATGAAATCCTTTCTGAATGATCAGTATCTTTTCATTTAAGAATAACATTGGTTGACCAGACATAGTTGTTTACACCTGTAATCCTAGCACTCTCGGAGGCCAAGGCTGGAGGATCTCTTGTGCTCAGGAGTTCAAGAGCAGCCTGGTCAAGAGCAAGACTTCATCTCTAGGGCAGTGCCTATGGCTCAGTGGGGAGGGTGTCCCCATATAGCGAGGATGGCAGGTTCAAACCTGGCCCCGGCCAAACTGCAACAAAAAATAGCCGGGCGTTGTGGCGAGTGCCTGTAGTCCCAGCTACTGGGGAGGCTAAGGCAAGAGAATCGCCTAAGCCCAGGAGTTGGAGGTTGCTGTGAGCTGTGACGCCACGATACTCTACCTAGGGTGACAAAGTGAGACTCTGTCTCTAAAAAAAAAAAAATAGACTTCATCTCTACTAAAAATAGAAAAATTAACCCAGTGTCATGGGCGCCTGTAGTCTCAGCTACTCGGGAGGCTGAGGCAAGAGGATTGCTTGAGCCCCTAGAGTTTGAGGTTGCTGTGACCTGTGATACCACAGCACTCTACCTAGACTCTGTCTCACAAAAAAAGAAAAAAAATTGATAAGCTTTAAAGTCTTTCGGTGCCATTGAATACTGCTTAATGATCTAAGACAGGGGTTCCAACCTTTCTGTTTTCATAAATTGGGGATTGGAAATATATGTTTTTGTTTGTTTGTTTGTTTTGTAGAGACAAAGTCTTATTTTATTGCCCTTGGTAGAGTGCTGTAGCATCACAGCTCACAGCAACCTCCAACTCCTTAGCTGAGACTACAGGCGCCCGCCACAATCCCTGGCTAGGAATATGTATTTTTAGAGTTTCTGGTGTGATTCTTTTTTGGGATCCTCTAGTCTAAAGCACAGACACAGGCTGAACAGAGGAGGAAATGGATTGGCAAGAAAGGTAGAGGGAGAAGTGGATAGGATACATGAGGAAAGGGACAGCAGAACAGAAAAGAAAGACTTAATTGTTTTGTAGTGATAACTGTGCTGTCAGTTTGTATGCCAGAGGCTGACCAAGTAGATATTGTCTTTTCTCTGCCTAGGGGCAAAAATTAATTTTCATCACATGAATACATTTGTTTCCTTCTCAGGAGTATCATAGGCCTAATTATTGTCATTGTTCTCAGTAACATTATAAGGGATATGGGGAAGAATGGCATAAGAGACTAGTATCTTGTACTCAGTGTGCCTGACTTTTTCTAAATACTCTAAGCTTGCCTTTCTCCTGGTGAGTTTTCTTAGTCTTAGAAGACTGGTTTCTTTGCATCGTGTATTCAGTCCCACACGATGCAGTTACTTGTGAGGCTACTGTGAGAAGGTGCTAGCATGATTCAATCTGGTATCATCCTGATTTTGGTTAATCTGGTGTACTGGTTTACTTTATAAGTAGCTGTGATGTTCATATTTTTTATGCCAAATACATGACATGGTTTGAGCATACAAATGTACTGAAGGAATTGGGGAGACAGGATACTTAAAATCAGACTTGTTCTAGAAAATCTAGAATATAGGGCTCTATCTTTAGCACTGTTTTATGTACTATACAATTAGTACTTATAGAATGGTATGCCTTGTTATGTTGTGTATCTTTTTATTTTTCCACCTTTCTCTGTCTCTAAATTGATAACTACTTGAAGTCCAGAACAAAATCTTAGCTCTCTATGTAGTCTCAGAACCCATAAGCATAAGTGTTTGTTGGACGTAATATGTAATTTTTTTTTTTTGAGACAGAGCCTCAAGCTGTCCCCCTGGGTAGAGTGCTAT